AAAAAAAAAAAAAAAATGCTTTCTCTGATTATAGGTCCACACAGCCATCAGCTAGAATTCTGTTAGGTAGTCCTTTTTTGGACAGGAGGCGTTGGTGGTATAGTAATGAGTATAGCTGCCTTCTAAGACATGTCTTTTTTTGTACCAGGAATTGAATTCGGGACCTTCTCCTTGCCAGGCAAGCACTTATGCCACTAAGCTATATCCCTGACAAAGATTCTGTAGTTTCTTTTATTTTTGAGACAGGATTTCACTCTGTAGTTTTTTTGTGGAACCAGGGATTGAACTCAAGCCCTTGCGCTTGCCAAGGAAGAGCTTATTCCACTGAGCCGTCTCCCCGGCCCCACTCTGTAGTTCTTTTTTTGTTGTGTTTTTTTTTTTTTTTTCTCATTTGTTTGTTTTTGTTTTGTTTTTTGTTTTTGGGGTGGAACCGGGGATTGAACTCAGGCCCTTGCACTTGCCAAGGAAGTGCTTATTCCACTGAGCCATCTCCCCAGCCCCCACTCTGTAGTTCTTGATTGATTCGTTGTCTTTTTCAGACAGGGTGTTGCTGTGCCCTTCAGGCTGGCTTTGAGTTCACTTTGTATCCTAGGCTGGTCTCAAACTCAACAATCCTCCTGCTTCAGCCTCCTGAGTGCTGAGACTACAGGCATGTGCCACAAAACCCAGTGCCTTACTATGTAGTTCAGATTGGCTCTGATGTCACTACACAGGCTAGGCTGGCCTTGAATGCAGTGATTGTCCTACCTCAGCCTCCATAGGCCTATTAGGCCTATGCCACACCTGGCAAGGATTTATGATTCTTCAGGGCTTTTTGGTGTGGGTTTTTTTTCTTTTTCTTTTATTTTGGCAGAACCGGGGATTGAACTTAGGTCCTTGAGCTTGCCAGGCAGGCGCTTAGACCTTTGAGCTGTCTCATCAGCCCTGTTTTGTTTGTTTTTTAAAAGCAGAATAGGGACTGGTGAGATAGTTCACTGAACTAAAGCGCAAGCTTAGGCAAGCACAGAGGCAAGCACAGGGACTGCAGTTTGATCCCTGACACAACATACCATGCCAGCCCTACCTCCAGGGTGGGCTGAGCCCAGAGTCCTGGCATAGTGGCGCACTCCTGTGAGCAATGGGGAGGCTGAAAGCAGGAGAATCACTAATGAGTCTGAGCTGTGTAGTGAGACCCTATAACAACCAAATACATTTTTCTTTTTTTCTTTTGCGGAACCAGGGATTGAACTTAGGCCCTTGTGCTTGCCAGGGAAGCACTTAATCCACTGTGCTATTTCCCCGACCCCAAATACATTTTTTAAAAAAGAGCAGAATATATTTATTAGAGGAAAGAGAGCTTCTGTTTGAGAGAGGCACAAAAGGGACCCCAAGTAGGTTGCCTAAGATTTATGATTCTTGTAAAGATTATTTTGTAAATGCTAGGTGTGTCAGTTACTGTTCTCTCCTTGCTGAAACAAAATACCTGATGCCCAACATTAAGGAGGGAAAAGTTTATTTAGCTCACAGTTAGTGGAGATTTCAGTCCATACTCAGCTGGCTGCAAGGCGGAGTAGCACATGGCAGAGGACAGCAGTTCATGGCTGCAGAAAAACAGCAGAAGAGCAATGGGAGGAGCAGCAGCTCTGGCTTCTAGCAAGCCTCTCCTCTTCTCACTGTGTAATGCAGATTACCCACCCCAGGGCAGGAATAGCACTCATACCCCTAATCCCAGCATTGGATCATGAATTAATCACAAATTTAAGATTGCTTAGCAGAATAAGTGCCTGTTTTGGCAAACTCAAGGACCAGAGATTGATCCTCGGTCCCACATGCCATGCTGGCCCCACCCCAGGTCATGCTGAGGTAGGGAATGATTCTGGGTGTGGTAGCGTACCTGTAATCCCAGGGCTTGGGAGGCTGAAAACAGAAGAAGCACTATGAGTCTGAGCTGTGTAGTGAGACCCTGTAGACCCTGTACTAAATACAAAAATAAGTAAAGTAGAAAATTTATTGGAGAATAGGAGTGGGGAATAGGAATGGAAAATAAGAATAGCTCCTGAGAGATGAGAAGGTTTCAGAATGGGTTGTCCTTATTTAGCTAATTTTATAATACATGGTCCTCTAAAGGAATCTAAGGATCCAACTTGAAGGATAGCAGATTTCATATTCTCTGTAATCTTTGGGATATAGCACTTCATTCCTAGCCCCAGTAAACCCTGGAGTATACTGCATGGACCCTGTATCAGGTGGCAAACCAAGTGCTATGATTACACATCCTTTGATGTTCACAGTTTTGTGGTTTGTTGTTTTTTGGGTTTTTTGGTTTTTTTTTTTTTCTTCTTCACAGTTTTTAGTTTATTTTTTTGTTTGGTGTAGGGTCTCACTGTGCATCTCGGACTCATGGTGATCCTCCTGTTTTCAGCCTCCCCACCACTGGGATTACAGGCATACACCATCAAGCCTGGTCTCCGTCGTCCACTCAGTGAGCCTTGGGATGGGGCCAGCATGGCCTGTGGTGCCAGGGATTAAATTTGGTCCTTGCCCTTGCCTAAGCAGGTGCTTAGTCCACTGAACTATCTAGCTGGTGCCATAGTTTGTCTTTTGTTGTTTTGGTTTTTCTATACAGGGTCTCACTATGCAGTTCAGACTCAGTGATCCTCCTATCTCAGCCTCCCCAGAACTAGGATTATAGGCATGTGCCACCATGCCTGATTTTGGGATGACATGGCGTGCCCCCCAGTACCAGGGATCAAACTCTGGACCTTGCACTTGCCAGACTGGTGCTTAGACCACCAAGCCATTTTCCCAGCCCTACGCTCATGGTTTTGAAAGGGAGACAGACTTCCCTGTGGTAAGTCTCTTCCCCTAAGACCAGTGTACTCACACCTGAATTTTTTTAAGCAGTTTACTCATTTCTACCTAAGATCGTTTGGCGTAAATATCCCTACTAAATAGTCTTTCCTGGATCTCTAGCCTTCAGAAGGGAGCCTCCATGTGGCCCTGTTTTCAGAGAAAGCGCATTCTGCACTGTGTCCATTACCAGCAGAGCTTTGCCCAACACTTCTCACTCTTGGGTTTTACTGTCTTCAGATCCCCTCCTCTTTGTGAAACTGACTTGTGGGTATGTGTACAGCAGTCTGCTCTCCTAAGAGGTGCTAAGTATCCCGGGGTGGTGGTCCCAGATCTCCAGCCCCCTGGCTTAAGGGATCTGCCTGGACAGTGCCCAAAGTTCAGCAGGGTGCCCAACCCTTCTTCTGTCCAGTTCACAATTTGAGCCCCATCCTTGTGGGGTTGGAGCCTGAGCTCTGTGGGGCAGAGCATTTTCCAGGAAGGGGGAGGGCCTGCTCAAGACAGCTACTGGGGTCGACAGGAGATGGCTTTTCCAGCTTGGGTACCCATACCAAGTTACCTGTACCAAGTCAGTAGGCATCAGTTCCTTTTTTTTTTTTTTTTTTTTTTT